GTTGTTGTTGTTGGTGGTGGTGGTGCGGTGGTGGTGCATCAACCCAATCTACGGTCTAAGGAATTTTCTTTTAATGGTACCCTGGACTGTTTGCTCCTGACCCTCCGAATCCCATATGGATCCATAGCAAGCAAGGTTTAGGGTCCTGGGCTGGTTTCGGTACTATACATGGTTAGGGTACCCTAGTCTTTTTGCATATGCCCCGTGACAAGCCACCCTATGAAGACCATATAAACCCAGTACAAACCTATACAAACCCTACCCAAATCCGACCAGCAACCCTACAGAAACCCTACGGAAACCCGTTGAAATTTTATGAACCCTGAACCGCTCAGTGCTTCACTGCTGTCCAGGAGCGCAAGAATCGAAGGATTCGTACCGTCTTCGAAAGACGGGCCACGCCAGCGGTTTGCTGGGCACCAGGAGCTTTGGAGTTTAGAGCTTTAAGGTCAGGGTTTGGGGTTTGGAGTCTCAGGCTGAGGGTTTGCAAAACGCGAAGAAGAGCAGCGATAAAGGTGGGCAAGACAAGGCTTGTGAAGAACCTTGCTGATTAATGTTTTTGCTCTGACCTACCTAGTTGCGGATTCAAGTACCGATGGCCTATACGCGAAATCCTCCGGTGAGGTCCAGAATACTGCCACCCCACCCCACCCACCCCCAAAAGGCGAAAACTTGTACTTGATTCTTGGATGTTACAATCTCGGCTAGAGGTTGATTTCATAATAATGTACCTTCTTACAGGCACCGAGGCCTTACCAAAGGATAGCCCAGTCACATTCCGCCCCTCTAGGCCATAAAGAAGCCAATCGATTCCTGACAACCAAACACTTTTCAACTCGAGTTTTCAGCACATGCGAACAGGCTACAGGCGCAGAAGCAGCCAAGTGGGTGGCAAAGAGCTTTCAGGAAAACGACTGCACCCCATTGTTTGGTTGACATGCTGCATTTGCCACACAGGAGCAGCCACATACTGCTTGAATGAACTCAACCACTGGGGCCGGGACCCACGACGGTAGCGTCGAAAGGAAACCACGTGGTCGCATAGTGCTTGACGATGCGTCCTCATCACCAAATTTCCCCAATCTCCCACCCAAATCCCGCGACAAGGAAGAGTCACGTTAGAGCCAGAACTACAAGGTCCTGAAAAATTAGAAGAGGCGCCTGGCTTCCTTACAGACTAACTACGTAAATATGGACTATATGCCTACTATATGAATAGTGACCCCTCTCTCAGACCCATTATCCGCTGTGCCAGCGGCTGAGGTCGAGCACCAGGATGCCCTTGTGGTAGTAGCCTTGGTTTGATTTCAATTGCTCGGGTGGCGTACTGTCGCATGTGGTTCACTCGATGTCACTATATGCTGGAGGGAAGGTATGGTCCAGATGCGCGGGGAGAGCAGATCACGAAGAAAATAACTGCCGGCGCAAGGTGGCCGCCGCTAGTTTTCCCAATTGTAAACGGCAGCAAAAGCCTTTAACGGCTACGGATGGAGTTGTAAAGTAGACGCCAGAAATTTGTTAGGGTTTAGGGGTTACGGTTTAGGGTTCAGGGGAACATCATTCTCCACATGCTCTGAAAGTCAAGCTACAGGGGATCCTTGCACGAATTAGCCTAAATCCATGTTCCAACTTTCTGGGATGGACTACAAGGGGCGTTCTCTAAATTCGGTTCCCCTTTTAGCCCAAGGTAGTACGGCACCCATGTAAAAAATGGACCCTGAAAGGGACCCTAAGGCCCTACTTTAGGGCACTACCCACAAGAAGGCTTGGGTGTGTGGATGTGGACCGGAGCAGACCAGGTGACCAGGTTGTCGTGATCTCAGACCTGGCTTACCGTCAGGCGGTTGCTCTCTTCCCACCGGCTCCGCCAGCCGGTCTGGTCTGCAATGTCCCGGGCGTGTACTTCGCACTGTCCTTGGTGAACTCTCGCCATCCGAAATCGACGCCAGCACACGCAGGACAGCTGCCGCCAGAATGGAGAATCTCTGCTGGGAGAGCGCATTCTACTTGGAGAGCTCAGGCCCATGCAACTCTGCGGGAAAGGCTATGCCCAGCTTTTTTTCTATGACTGCCGCCACCCATGTGGCGGACTACGATGTCTTCCGCAGCTCAACCCATGTGTCGGCGCTCCCCAGGACACCACAGATCCATCACCCAGGATTGCAGCAAATGCTCCTTGCGAAGCTTGGATCTGCTGCACCTTCTTCAGCTGCTCCTGGACGGCACTGCTGTCGCCACCACGGGCGGCATTACACCAGATGACCACAGATCCGTCACCCTGGAGTGTGGCGAACGTAGAGAACGCACTGCCTCGCCTCGTGCCTTCAAGTTGGACTTGGCTCACTTGCAGGGTAAGCACATCTCTACTCTTCCTGTTTCTGTGATATCTTTTCCGTCAAGCCCCTCTCCAGAAGAATTCAGCAGCTTCCCCTACCCGTGACTAGAGCACTCTGGGCACGTTGCTTCAGTGACTCAACAGATGCATCCGCGTCCACTTCCCAACATACCCTGCTGCCGCTCAGCAGATACACATCCAGGAAAATCGATATGATGCTTTGTAGGGTAGTAGTTACACGCAAGACCTAAGACTACAGCTTGCTGGATCATCTTTTTTCATCCCTATGCAATCCTATAATATGGTGGCCTAAACAACAACGACTGCATGTTGTTTTAGGTGTTTGATACCATAGTCGCATTTAGCAATTATTATTGCCTCCCATATTACAGCTTACCTCATTCCCAGAGCATCCTTCACGCCGCTTAGAAAGTTGCAGAGGGGCAACCTTTTGGCTTCTTCTACAACCGCAAAAAGCTCGGCAGCATCCCAACCAGCAATGTCCGCACGCACTCAGAACAAGAGCCTTAACCCTGCACCATTAGCTCGAGCAAAAATCGCGGCCGCATCTTTGAGCCACCGAGCCGGTAATGAAGGAGACAAGGATGTCCAAGTTCCAGAATAGCCTGCGTCTGTTCAGGGATGCTGCAAGGCTCCGCAATGACTGCGGGCTTGAGCATTGTCAGGGACGGTATGTAGTGTTCCAAGTTCCAATAATGCGTTATTCGTCCGCTTCCACTCCGGGTAGAGTACAGCGCCACATAGGACTCCGGATGAGACATCCCAAGACTGCAAACTGCAGCAGGAGAATAGCAATCAACATGCAACCATGCCAACATGGTACAGCGACGATAGATTAGGAAGAGAACAAAATGGTGTAGTTGCAAACAAAATGGTGTAGTTGCACAGTCCGTTTATGTGCGTAACTGACCTTTTAGGAGTGACACTCTGGCATTCCGTTGCTGTACGGCATAGGGACAGCAAGAAGAGACCCCAGTCTCGAAAAAGGCCTTGCTGTTGCGACACTTTCCCTAAAGCCTAAACCCTTGAGACAGGCCCGCCAAGTAGCTGTGTCACCCAGGACATGATCACCAGGACGAGGGTCTCCGGTGGGTCGAAGAAGCGCAGCGGGATCACGACTGGCAAACTAATCTTGGGCTTTGGAACGGACAGACTGAATCCGCGGTACATGGCTGACAAGAAACTACCAATCAAAGCTTCTCCTTGAAGGCTGTAGTTTGCCAGCGTAGACCCCAAACAGTGACTGCAGCGGGAGCACGATCACCCGAAACAAGCGCTGGACTGTGGCGGGAGCATGACTTCGCGAGGCGGAAATGCAAGGCCGGGAGATGCCACAGCATGCTTGTCTATGCCTCGCAGCCAAAGATTCCCAAATCTTGGATGTTACAATCGGTGTACCGGACGGACCGGGGGAACGACCGCGATGTTCAGTCCAAAATCCGCCCAGTGGGAGCCGCGCGTGCGCGCGCCGCGTGCGTGCAGTAGCCTAAACATATTCTCGCCTTCAAGTTGCCACCCTGTTCTGTTTGGGAAGTTTGCTGTTCGAAAGCTAAATATGTGACTGCTCGCCTGTTCTTTGCCTTCACAAGATACATAGGTGATGGCCCTTGAAGACCCTTGGGCTCTAGAGCTCCAGCGGGCACTTCGTGTTAGCCTCCACTACAGTCACTACAGAATGAAAAGAATGAAGCCCTAGGAGCCCGAAATGCCCCAACTCCTCGGATCTACAGCCCAAGAAGAGAAGCATAAAGTAAGCATCTGATGCCAGGAAGACTGGCCACAATCTCAACATCTCCCAGAATCAGAAAGCGAATCGAAGAGTTGCCTCTGAAACCCTGGAATCGAATGGCAAGTCTTGCGTGCGATAGGCGATAGTAGTCAGGCCGAACCACTTCTTCGATTCTATGCTGGAACAAGTCGGGTCAGACGGTCCGAAGGCTCCATAAAACCGCCGGCTCCCGGCCTATGTCAAAGGTGAGCAAGGTCATCCCCAGAACATCCCACCAGGCCCGGAGAGGACTTCCGGGATGCCTTTGTGGACTGACTGAGGGGGGCAGGTTGGAGCTCAGGCTACTGGGGTTTCTTGGTTCATCGGCTCACTTAGGGCTTAGGAAATACAGGAAGTGGTGATCCTGCATCCTGATCATGACCACGGTGATCATGATGTCGAGGGCGTTTTCTGGCCTTGTGTCCTTTTATGGGCCCACTGGCCGAGCAACTTTACACGTGATCATGATGATGACGGCTGCGGTGGCCATGATCAAGCTGGAAGCCTTCTCACTACCAGTCCCTCTGATGATGACAAGTCTTGCTGATGGCATCTTTCCTCCTGGTCCTGCCGCTTCTGCGGCTGCTGCTGCCGCCATTGCTACCGCTACGACCACTGCTGCTAGACTCGCTTTTGCTGCTACTGCTTGGGCTTAAGGCTGCTTTTTTTCAGACTGCCCATGGCTGCGACTCTGAAACCAAGCCGGATGATCTCCACAGGCTAGCGGCAGCGAAGACTTCCCCAACAGCACAAGACATGAGCGAAAAGGAAAAGAGCACTGTTCTCGTGAAGGTCACTGGATGAAGGGCAGCACGGACTCCCGCGCAGATCCTTCACAGCATTACGAAGATCTGGATACTAGGCTCCGAGGCTTGGGGTTCTGATCTGCAAGAAACTGGCTTCATGCGAATCCTGAGATGCATCAAGCCTCCTGAAACAGAAAATCCGGCAAAACATTGAGATCCTGACTCCGCACAAAAGCCAACGCACGCCTCCTATGATCGCTTTCGACGAATCCGGAAAAACCATTTGAGCACTGCTGCCTCAGATGAGGCTGGCACAGCGATTGCAAGGCTCACTCACACGGCTCGTTCAAGAGTGCAGCAAACCGAGGTTCTACCTGCATCATAATCCTCCGGCCTACTGCGAGCACTCCCGAGATGTCGCCCTCCGACCAAGCCGTCTCAAGGAGGTGCAAGGCAGCACTCGCATCGGCCCTCAAACCAGCTAGACTCGACTTCAAAACCCAACATCATGCTTGTGGTCAGGGCGGCTGTGCTTGCGACCGCCGCTGGGTCCGCTGGGGCCCTCGGCAAGCGGCTCTTCGTCCACCTGTGCCGAAGAGGCTGGTGTCTACTGGATGCTGAGGGCCCCGATTCAGTATCTGAAGTATCCGAAGGCCTGTTTGAGGGTGTGGCACTGCAGCATGTCGCCTCTACAAGCTTGTTCCTGAGCTTCCTGCGTGGTATCTTGCTGCCGGATTCTGTCAGTCTCCAAGCTCTGACACTCAACATGATGACAGCACGAAGATTACAAGCCTGAGCCTGAGCCCTCCAATCTCACCCTCACAGGCGCCCACCGCCCGATGCCAGAACTCACGGAGCTTGAACTCGAAGTGATTCTCGTCACCTGGCTCAGCGCAGTCCAACAGCCCCTATTGGAGCTCTGGGACTGCCTACTACTGCTTAGCAGCTACTGTTGTTATATTATTATTATCATTATTATTATTATTATTATTGTTATCACTACTAATTTCGTGGCAACAGCTACTGCTAGTACTGGCATCCGTGTGAATAAGTGCTTCTGCTAGTCTCAGCAGTTTCAATACTACGCTTTTTGCCATCGCTAGCGCTGAGACATTCAACATAATCCAAATTACATCACTCTCACACACAGGCCAGCCACAGTGGTGAAAAGCTCGAGCCACATCCAATGTGTTGCCTCCAGTGCCAGAGATGCGACCGCCAATCGAGTCCTCATCTATGCGGCCGAATGTGCCTTGCGGGAATACAACAATCCAACAAAGCATGTGCTATCAGACCGTGCCCCACGTCATGCTGTTTTGATGTGCGTCTAGCCCATTCCGCAGTTGCGGCTTCGGATCTGGGGCAAGGATTGAGCCGACAATAGGCAGCTGTCCAAAACATTCCAAAACCAAGGGCACGAAGTCTCGAAGACCACCACAAGTAGACACAGTAGTCGTTTTCGTCGTTGTAGTTGTAGCAGTAGCAGTAGC